GAGAACAAGGAAATCAGAGTCAACGAGCGACAAGAATCAAAATCATCAACAAGAGGTACAATGCGGGCAGGACGACGAAATCAGAGTCAAGGAACGAGAAGAATCAAAATCATTCAAAGGTATAACACGGGGAGGACGGCGAAATTAGTGGTGTCAAAGAATAAGAATAATCAGAAGAATTAACGCAAGCCAGCTCCCCATGCGCAGAAGGAAGGTATGGGATCTTCATTATGTCTACGGTGCGAGGACTTCTTAACAGCTTCCTCAAGCTCTTGCGAGAAGAGCTGCGTACTGCCGTGCAGCAATATTTGATTCCGTAGGGCCTGGGACCCCAGAAAGTTGACCCCAGGCACCACTCTTCTTTATATTTGCCTCACTATACTTCACGTGAATAATATGTAAGAAAGTGAACATGTATGAGACGCTATACATCCCTGCTACATGACGAATACAGCGATGAGGTGGATATATCGAGAACAGGATAGACAGGCGGTGTACTTCATTGGCATTTTTCATAATAAAAGGTATATCCCCTTTAACAATACTGAAGCAGATGTTTCGGCTCCCAGTGCCTGGGGTCAACTTTCTGGGGTCCCAGGCCCTAAGGAATCAAATATTGTTGCACGGCAGTGCGGAACCCTAGGACCCTCGACGCGTGACTTTTCGGTAGGGTCCCCTTTGTGGCGCGGGTTATGCCGGCGCAAAGCTACGCCGGCGCGAAAACCTACGACGGCGCCGAGCTGCGACAACGACGACGCGCAAAGCTACGACGACGACGGCAGGTAAAGCTACGACGGCCATTGAGTCTTTATAATTCAGGCGCTCGATGCATCTGCCAACACATCAACTCTTGCACAACTTTGCATTCAACCACCAGCCCCCCTGCCAGCCTCCTACTAGCCTCCTACCAGCCCCCACTAGCCTGCCCATTATGACCGCTCAATCCTACGCTGGCTTCTTATTTGGCATGGTTACCAGCACATTTGGTGCAAGTCCGGAGTCGGCTGGGGTCGCTGGGGAGGACAGCAGAAAGATAGCGGCTTCCAAGCCGAAGCCAAAGAGTACTAGAGGTGCGCGCGTAATATCCGGATTTCTTTTCCAGTCATCTGAGCCTCCTCCAGTACGTCGTCTGCCACTGCCGACGATGCCCGGCTCCTTCCGCGCTCTGACTCCGGAGCCGGTCGCAGAGCCTGCTCAACCCACAGCGCTGGAACCACCGACGAAGCGGCGGCGGATCTCCAAGGAAGACTCGTTGGCGATCGACGAGGTGATCGAGAAGCTGGAGCAGGAGATTGAGGTGCTGAAGACACGTGTAAGCACGCGCGTGTACGCTGTAGCACCTTTCTTTGACACTTCACGCCTAGTTGGGGAGGACCCACCCGGCTCCTCGCCAAAGTTTCAAGGTACCAGAGCGTGCATCCGAGACAACGAGTATGCAGAATGATAGTCGTTCTTCGATTGCCCCTCGACAAGACATGAGCCACGTATTCGATGAGCTCAAGCATGTACGCTTACGTAAAATTGATACATCCGCTATTCCCCTACAATCTCGGCGAATTGTTCGTACTAGCCCTACGCAGCTCTTCTCGCAAGAGCTTGAGGAAGCTGTTAAGAAGTCCTCACACCGTAGATATAATGAAGATCCCATACCTTCGTTCTGCGCGTGGGGAGCTGGCTCGCGTTAATTATTCTGATTGTTCTAATTCTTTGACACCACTAATTTCGCCGTCCTCCCCGTGCTATACCTTTTAACCATTTTGATTCTTCTCGTTCCTTGACTCTGGTTTCGTCGTCCTGCCCGCATTGTACCTGTTGTTGATGATTTTGATTCTTGTCGCTCTTTGACTCTGATTTCCTTGTTCTCCCCGCGTTGCACCTTTTTCTAATCATCTCATTCCTTGACACTAATTTTCTCCTCACACTGTACCTCTTCGTCATCTTAGAGTCGGGCATACCTACCCTAGATTAATGCCATCCACATTAATATTGTCAAGAGCAAGTGGCTGTGTATTGTCGGTGGCTGTAATAACAATGGTGGCTGTGAACAACAACCCTGAAAGAAATTTCATGACTTGACTGCAAAAAAACACTCACACGACTCTACTGCTTCATTATTGTTCATATTCCGTTTGAGTTGTGACTCCGAAGCTTAACCTTATTGATCCCTGTCAAATATCTAGCCAGCATCGCCTTGATAACACAGCACACCATATCATGTCCCATCCAACCCCTTCCGCTGACGAGATCGAGGAACTCCTTCTTTCCTGCCGCTACGGCGACCTAGAAGACGTGCGCGCATTCGTGGAGAAGTTTGGGGCTGCGGCCGCCGCGGAGGCTAGGGATGACCGGGGGAGCAACGTCTTGCACATGTGTGCGGCAAATGGACACGAGGGTTCGTTTTCCTACCACTTCCACGTATCTGCCTATGCTGATCAAGCAAACAGACGTCCTTTCCTACCTCCTTCCGCTCATGCCCCCCTCCCTACTAACAACACCCAACACTTCCCTCTCCCTCCCCGTCCACTGGGCAGCGCTCAACCGGCATCTCCCCATCCTCGCCATCCTCGTCTCCGACACGCGGATCGACGGCGCGCACCTCATCGCCTTGCCTAACGGATCGGGAAAGAGCAGTCTTACGGTTGCGGAGGAAGAGGGGTGGGACGAGGGTGCGAGTTGGCTGGCGGATAAGATCGAATTGGCTTTGGCGGTGGGGGAGGGAGAGACGGCGGAGGGAGTCGAGGAGGAGGATGTGGGCGAGGAACCGGCTGAAGGAGAGAAGATGGATGTGGATGTCCAGAAGTAGGCAGGTGGACGAGCGATTATACCCTGATATGATGGATACCCACGATGGAGCAATCAATATGGAATTGCACCACCCACTCTCCAGGCCAGTGGACGTTGTGAGCGTGGGTAGGAGCAGTCGTTCATGGTCTATATCCAAGAGTTGTGACCAAAGCGATCGAGTCCCTGACCTGGAACCTCCCACAAACACCCAACTCGAGAGCTGTCAAACCAAGTCCCTCAATTCCTGAAATGCAAAAATAGTAATAAACTAAGAATAAAATACAAGATATCTACCCCGCCCTACGCCTTCCCCTTATATCTTCAAAACCTGGCGGTATCAGGCGGTTCCTCAACTCACACCTGCTTTTCTCCTTTTGTCTCTCCCAGCTCAAGCGCACTCCTCGGCACTCCATCCCGAATTAGCGAGGGCAGCTGGAGCACTAGTCTTGCTGCGGTATGACTCTCCTCGAGGTCTGTATCTTCCCACGGGTCTTCTTGTCCGAAAGAACCGTCACGCCGGCTGTGTGACCCCCTGTTGTGTGGCGATGGACTCCCATTCCCCGTAGATGTAGAATTAGAGAGGACATTCTCCTTCCCTCGGCGTAATTCATGCAAGTGTGCCGTCCTAGCTAGGCGTTTCGCGCTCCCTAGCGCAGCTCCGGGTCCACCAGTCGCACGTCTGCGCGGGGAAGTGAGCGCTCCGAATGAATGGGAGGAGGCGTGGAAGGGAAAGGCGGGGTGGGAGACGTGTAACGGACGCGGGGTTTGTGGTGTTTGGATGGGTCGGGGGGAGCGACAGGTGTTAGGGGTGGGAGAACGGGGTGGGGCATGTGTGGCCGAGGGACCAGGAGCGGGGAAAGGGATAGACAAGCGACGTTCCAGAGCTGGCGCAGGCTTTGCAGCCTCGTGCATTTCCGGCGTAACTTGACTTTCTACCGTCGACTGGCGAGCCGCTTCCCTTGCCGTGCGCGAAGCGTCCTCCCTCGTCCCGGTGAGACGGAAGGCGGTGGATATGGCCGCCCAGTCGGGACCGCGGGTGAGCGTGGTGACGAAGAGAACCACGACGAGCAGGCAGAGCTGAGCAACCGACAGTCTCTTCTCCAGCACCACCTGGTGCACCAGTTAGCTCCTTCACACCAATTGTAATGGACAGCGCAAGAAGCCAGAGTGAGAATCGAGTGACGCGCACGCACCTCGTTCTCTAGCATATGGATCTGTGACACCAGCTGCCGCCTCTCCAACTCCATCCTCTCTCTCTGGAGATCCATCTCCCCCAGGGCAAGCTCGAACGCATGTCTCTGGTCCGCTGTCTGCATTCCTTGAGCTCACCAGCTCCATAAAACAAAGGGGAGAAACGCACCAGTCCCTCAAGCCGGCCCTCCCAGCCTCGCTCAACTTCCCTCCACCTCCCTTCGCCCCACCTCTCCTCCACACCCTTCTCAAGCCTGCGAAAAGCCTCCCTCATCATACGACTCTGTTCTTCCATATATCTCGTCCCAAGGGTGGTATTCAGCTCGAGAAGGGTGAGCCGGTTCATGATGGTGCGGTAGATCGATTCGCCTGTGGGGAGGGGAGGGGCGGCGAGCGTGAGCGAGTAGGAGGGGGATTGCGGGGCTGTCACGGGGGTAAACTGGGGTGGCGTCGAAAGGGTAGACGTGGATGTGATGGTGGTCACGACGGAGGTAGATGAAATCTGGGAAGGTGGGTCGGTCTTGCCAGTCGAATGTACAGAGTTGAGGGACGAGTCGCGTTCCGGGCTGGATGGGATAGCAGTCGCTCGCTCAGATACTGCCGGCCCCTGCACCTGCGCCTGAGCTAAGGCATCTTCGATCATAGCCGAGTCTGGCACGCTTGTGTTTTCAACGGCGGCGCCAACCGCGTCCACATATTTGTTTCCCGTGCTATTCTTCCAAGTATCATGCTCAGAAGCAGCAGATTCCTGGGGTTCCTGAGTAGCCCACGCGGGTGTTTCTGGGACCGAGGAACGAGAGGAGGTCGCGGTTGATGTCGTTGCCGCGGTGGTGGAGGTGTCGATTGAGGACTTCCAGATGGATGTTGGGCTGCTTTCAACCGTCGAGGGGCTGGACAAAACGACAGCCGGTGTTCTGTTCTCCACGATTTCGGGCGATATTGGCGCATTGGAGGCCATGCCCTCCTGTGGCTTCTCCTTTTTCGGTTCTTCCGTGACCACGACCACCTGAACAGTCCTGGTCTCCCGAACCTGTTTCTCCTCCCACTCCCTCTTAGCCCTCTCCGCCTCCCTCTCTCTTACCTCTTTCTCTCTCTCTTTCTCCCTCTCCCTGCCCTCTTCTTCCCACTTATCCCTCTTCCATTCCTCCATCTCATTGAGGCCATACACCCTTAACAGACTCACAGGACAATAGAACTCGCCCCCATAGTAGCTTTCGAATACCACCCTGACAAACCTATGGAACCCCTCTATTTCTGGCGCAGGATGAAAACTCTGCACGGCACGGACATTGCGCGCCTCGAAGGTGCCTGCGTGTACCCAGCCTTCGGGTCCAGGAGGGTAGCGCGGCGAGAGGTAGATCGAGATGTTCCTGAACACGCCGGAAAAGAACTCGTAGTTCGCAAGTTGGACAGTGTCGACCCAGATATGATCGCAGAGCTCAACGTCGACCCATTTCTCCTTTGCGCCGCATTGGTGTAGCATGTACCTGTCCTTCTTCCTGCTGAGGATTGCACTGGGGTTCTTCGTACCAGGGGACGAAGCGTGCACGCGCGCACTACAGTCGTCAGAAGCGTAGTTGTATCTGTCCGTGAGGGGAATAGCGATCCTCGGGCCGGAAGTAGCGGCAGGGAAAGGAGAGGGCGACGCAGCCAAGGGAGGAGGGGCGAGGAGAACGTCGTGTGCCCCTGATGGAGGTGCAGGAGCAGTCCCGTCCGCTGCTCGGGGTGGGGAGGAATCGGTAGGCACGCCTTGGGCGATCTGTCGCGCTTTCCATTCCTCGAAGGAGAGAAACCCTTCGTCGACGTCGTCCAACTCTGTAGATGGAAGGGATTCAGGAGGAGGCTTGAAGACGTCGCTGATGTTGACCACTGCGGGCAGAGGGTCGGCAGCGACGCATGGCGTCCATTCGCGCAAAGCGTAGAACGGATCGTGCACACAGCATGGCTTGACACCGGCGACGACGTGGAGGACAAGAAAGAGACCAAACAGGCGTGTGATGTTCATAGTGCATACATCGTCGTTGATATGGTCGTTGTCGTCGTCGACGGTGAGCTCACCGTCCCTTTTGTCGTTGAAGCTGTGTCCTTACACGTTGGACGCTCTCCGTCGGCGTCCTGATGACGGCCCGAGAACATACGGAAGCGAAGAGTATCCGCTGTCTTTCTTGCCACACATACATCCTATGTATTCGCCCCCAATTTGCAATAAATTCACTACACAAGGTAGACTGCGCATCATCTACACCCTCATACTCTCTGGAGGACCTACATAACTCTTCCTCATATTCCCAGTATCAACCACCACACGCTGCAACACCACAGCAGGCTCGATCATCCATACCGTGAGCTTATGCGCTCCGGGCGTGGTCGTAATGTCTGTCAAATATCGTTAGCACGTAATCCCATAATTGCATACCGCAAGTAGAGCGGGCAACGAGGTTCGCAGGACCGAATAGGTAATAGACGCACTCGTAGGGTTCTCCAGGATCGTATTCACCGCGTACCCGTCGTTTCCTCCCCACCCAGCAGGCATAGTACTACTCGGCGCATACGGAATGAAATAGATACTTTGCGCAGGCTGGTCGTCCCACTGCACCGCGTATCCGAGAGGGCGGGAGGGATCGTTGTTCAGTGATGGGGAGACGTAAGTGTATAGTGTCACGTTCCCTCCTACGGTGTTGAATAGGTAGATGTCGTATTCCCTGCATTACGGTGAGCGACTTATGCTGACCATGGCAGGGCACACTTACAAGCTCGGTCCAGTACCGGGAGTAAAGTTACCAGAGTTGGGAGGGAAGGGCGTCACCCAGGCCTGCGGGATCGAAGATACGTTCGGTGTGTTGAATAAGCTTGCCAAAATCTGCCGCTGAGTGGCCATGACTGATTCTAGAAGGGCAACGTTGGTAGTTGGGCCCATTGGCACTAAGATGTATTGGATGAGCACTTCATCTCGGAGAACTCAAGTTACGTACAGTCACCAGCGCCGCGCATGCCGACGGTCCAAACACCCTCGTACTGATAACCACGCATCGCACCTTCCGTCCAGTACTGAGTAAGATTGGCTGCATTTCTGGCGAAGTCCCAAACTTGTCCCGGGTAGTAATAGTTCCATTCATCTGTACAACCGGCATGAGACAACGGTCAGAAACAAGGATAAAGCTTACTGGGAGTTGACCGCATAATAGGCTCCTCGTGACTGGTCGTCATCACGACCCCGAAATAATCAGCCAGTGGTTGGTTCAAGATGTCATCTACGCCGAACATGCTATGCAATGATCAGTTTAGGGTTGATCCAGCCAAGTTCCATGTACTTACCCGGACCACATCGCCAGCAGAAGCGTGTTCGCACGCATCCGAAGAATGAGCTCGAAGAGATGGCTAAAGTAGTTCATTAGCCTAATCTTGACATTTATGGGACCTGCTTACGTGTAAAAGTAATGGTTGAAAGGGAGTGTGGTCCCATTAGTAAAGTAGTACTGGGCCCAGCTCTGCAGCGCAGGTTGTTCATCGTTCAAGACTGCGGGGAATGTTAGACAGCATTACGGTGCGCTTGCGAATCTACTTACACATTGCCCGATACTTAACGCTTGGGGATCCATGAGCGCAAGTGTCGACATACAGCTCACTGTTAGTCTTGATCGGTACATCGGCCCACCTAGACAGAGCTCAGATAACTGCTTGATTTTTCAAATACGTCAACGTACCAATACCAAGGCGAGACACCCATCTGCTCCGATAGTTCATACATTCCGAAGATCGTACCGCGTTTATCCGATCCCATAATGACGTATGCCATATCGATGCTGGGGAGGGGATTCATCATCATATGGGCGGTGTATGCCTCCCATTGTCCCGTAAGGCCGGAAACGTCCATACCAGTGTAGCTGACCATCTGATCGATAAGAGACGAATGTCCCAGGGTGCCAATCAACACCACAACGCTGGGGGAGGACGATGAAAGAGTTGATCCAGTTGTGATCGTCTCCGCATACGGCATGACACCAGTCACGTTAGCGATATCATTCCGGAAATCGTTCGCAGCTCTGAGGACACCGGGCCACTCATCGTCAGAAGTGTAAATGGGAGTTGCCTGACCATTGCTGACAAGAGATATAAAAGAGCTGCTGGAATTGCTAAAGTAGACGCATTGATACTGTCCAATGGCCAAAGAAGCAATAGGGAGCAGGAGCAGGGCGATCGCTCGACTCAACGCAAGAGAGGGTCTCATCTTGCCCAACGCGGGAGCTAGCAACTTTGTCAACTCGTTTTGCTAGGCGGCAATTTATTCACTTCCAACATACCTAAATTGCCCCATTCGGGCCGTCTAGGCTGCAGAAGCATGACACGTTTGCATTGGGGTGGGAATCATCGATGACGGCTTGCAGCTACGATGCTCAACGGTAAGACCATTGAGCCGCTTATGTTGCCTATTGGAGATACAGAAGGAAGAAGATCATGTGGACATCTTGCAATTAGCCGCAATCAATAACCAGATGCATCGCAGCCAGCGAGGCACGTACTGGGGAAGATGAGAACATGACAGATGTGGATGAACGAACATGGACGGAAGGAAACTGCATTATCTTCTTGTATGCGCGTCTGTCACGTGGCCGCACGTTACTTTGGAACAGTTGATCGAAGCAAGATGTCTCTCCTGTTCTCCTGTCGAAAAGCATATTGCCCACCTCTTTAGACACCAGGGTCGAGAGACACATTTATTGATACCAAGGGAGTAATCTCGCCCATCTTGCTCAACGCAAGCTCTGTGTCCCCCCAACCAATCAATCACACGTACACACTCTCAGGAGGTCCTAAATACGAATACCGCAGCCCGCCGGTGTTGATGATGAATTTCTGCATCACTACCCCAGGTTCAATCTGCCAGAGCGTGAGCGTGTGTTTCCCCAACGCCGTACTATTGAATTCTGAGACGTAACACTTCAGTGTCTGTTTCACAAGCAAGACCAGGAACAGAAATACTCACGAATTGTTGTGTTGATCATGCTGTTTGCGACCCATCCATCTGGGGTATCCCAACCCGGAGGTTGAACAGAGGCGGATACGATCAGAATGGGATAAACGGAAATCGGGGGCGTGTTATCTAACTGAAGCGCATAACCGAGCGGTTCCATGTAGCCATGATTATCTAGGGATGGAGACATCACAGCAGTTACGGTGATATTCCCATTTGTAGTCGCATTTCCGCCGATGGTATTGAAAAGGTAGAAGTCGTACTGGAGATTTGGCCCGGTTCCAGCCGAGAAGTTGTTGCCTGCGACAGGGAAAGGCGTTGCACCAGTCGAATTGCGACCGTAATTAGGCAGGATACCCCAGTAAGCATCATCCACCGTATTGTTACGTGTGGCATGAGCCGCATCCCATGCAACATACCCATCACCTTCAACAAAACCAGAAAAGTTGCTCGGAGCAGCGGTATGGTACGCTTGAACGTAGAACGGCACTAGCTGGTTAGCCATCGCCTCATTGTGCAAGTACTGTGAGGCAGAGCTCGATTGAAAATTAATCTGCGCATATCCTACCGACGCATTGACTTGAGACCAATCGACAGAGAGCCAGATTCGTGTTGTCGTATTTGTACCGCTCACAGGAACAATAGTTCCAGAGGTCTGGGATATAGAGAGCCAAGTAACGTTGGACGAAGCGGTCCAATTAAACATAGCAGGTCCCCCAGCACTGATATCCACCCATCGGGTCACCGGCCCGTACGTGTCGAACGGAAGCATGGAAGAAGTTGGACAGCTGTACATTTGGGAACACTGGAATAATCCAGTCAGTGACAGAGAGATATGATTATAATCTGCTCCATACATCGTACTGATCATCTCCCGGCCAAGCACCCTAGGTATGATGAGATCAACCAAAATGACAATGATACGTGGCACGTTACGTACGAGTGAGCCATCAATGGTGATACGCATTGCTCCGGGCAAAGCGGTCTTGCGACTGGGTACCCTACTAACAAAAGGCATGGAATTTTGCATCGGCTGCTGCCAATACGCATCTGCAAGACACCTCTTTGAGATCCGCGGATGTATTCATCGGGCAAACTCACAACCCATATGCGATTGATCCATGATGCTGAGAAACACAATGTTAGACATTGCCGCGACTACATGGATACACCCTCTTACTGTTGCCATTTCCCATCAAGCATCGTATGGTACTGATGCTCCAGATCATAGTCCTGCTCAAATAGCATGGCGACTTCATCATTCAGCCAGTTCGTGTCCAGTCTAGCTTGACCAGCGTAGAGGTTGTTCATCCCGGCATAGATATACATCTTCTGGAGCGTATAGCTCGCCTGTAAAGGATGGTGTACCAGCTGGAAGTACGCCGGTTGGAAGGCAGGATCGAGCTGATTCCATATTGCCCATGAAGTAGCATTGAGCACCGCATAAGTGTCAAGAATGTGACCGGCCTCGCCGTAGTTCGTCAAACTGTAGGTCGTGCTGTTGAGTAGCTCCGGTTTGCGTCTCGCGTTGAATTGAGTTACATTGCTGATAATGTCGACGATGCTTTGTGACTGCTCTGGCGGGAGAGCGAACTCACGCTGGGCCCAGGCGAGAGCGAAGTCGTTTAGGTTGAATTGGTTCCAGCGCGAAACATTGTATGCGTAAGTGAGGAAGAACTCCTGTTATCCGCCTGTATCAGTTGCTGGTCACGCAAGCCCAATTTCAGACAAACGTACAATATCTTGTTCATATGGCTTCAAATCACCGACATTGACGACCCACAACTTTGACGCCTGTCTCTCATAAGTGAGGTGCATCTGCTCCCAGACCTTGGCGAGTTGCGTCGAGCGAATCCACTTGTAATCCCTCGGGGCACCGACGTAGTCGAAATGGTAGTACATTCCTGCTCCCCCACGTCGGGAAGTCTCATTTCCCGTAGGCAAGCGGCGGACGTTGCCCCAGTTATCGTCTGCCCACAAAAGAATCTGTCAACTTAGAGGTCAATTATGCTTTCGTGATATGGAGATGTAAGGACGAACAATATCGTCAGGCACAGTCATCCCACTGTCCCAATAATCTTCGACCTCTTTGTACAGGCACCATGCCTGCGGGATGACAGAAGGGTCCGAGACATTGTAGACCGACGAGATGATTCCACGTTGGGTTGCAATGACCTTCTCCAGCAGTGCGATATTCGTTGCTGGTCCGAGCGGCACTGTCTTCTCCATAAGAACCCCTTCCAGAATACAAAACCAAAAGCGCACGGTCTCCATTTCCTCGCATACCAACACTGTACAAGCTCTCATACAGTTTTGCCCTTTCCGCGCCTTCGGTCCAGAAGGCCGTGATGTTCGCAGCGTTGGTATTGAAGTCCCAAGGACCTGAGCCAAACGTGTTCCATTCGTTCGGTGTACTGCGCATCATAGGTTCCTCGTGGGATGTCGACATCACCACGCCATAGTAGTTGGCAAGAGGTTGGTTTTCCGGATCGTCCACGCCAAACATGCTGTAGTATTATCAGGATGCTGAACAGAAGAAGAAAGACATATGAAGGATGACATACCCGGCCCACTGTGCCGGCCAAAGTAAGTTCCCTTTCAGCCGAAGGATCAGCTCAAACAAATGGCTATAGAAGTAATGGTTGAACGGCGCGCCTGTGCCGTTTGTGAACGTGTACTGAGCCCAGGACTGGAGTGCAGGTTGCTCGTCATTCAGGACTATCTCAGTGCTCTTAGTAGGGGTTGTCAAGGGGTGATTGATGACTCACAGATACCACGATACTGCACACTTGGCGATCCATGAGCACAGCCGGTTGCGTGCACTTCCGCGTTCTGTTTGATCGGCACGTCTGCCCACCTGTCTCCAAGCATCAGCATCTTCACTGGCGTCAAACCCAGGAAGAACGACCCACCAGTACCACGGACTGACGCCCATCTGTTCTGAATGCTCATATATAGCATATATCGTCCCTCTACGGTCCGAGCCGCGCATGACATAGCCATTGCTCACGCCCGGCAAAGGGGAAGACACGACAGTAGCATCATAGACCTCCCACTGGTCCACAAACCCAGCAGTGCTCAGGTTGGCGTGGGACGATACCGCGATCATCAAACTGGTGCTGTACGTCCCCACGAGCACCGCCGTGCTTGGGAGGGAGGTGGACGTAGAGTTCCATAATAGTAGCTCTGGCCGAACACCAGTGACGTTGGCGATGTCGTTCTGCAAGTCTGCTGCTACGCGCAATACACCTGGGTCGTCATCGGCACTCGCGATGATGGGTGCTGCAACACCGGATGCGACGAGAGGGAACGAGCCGGCTGAAGAGGTGAACGCAAGACATGGAGCTTGACCAATGGCCTGTGCTTGAAGGAAGAGAGAGGATAGCAGGACGAAGGAGCCGAGCAGGCCCATGATTGTCGGATGAAGATCTAGCGGCCCGAATCAGGTAGGACGATGGACGCAAGGACTTTATGCCTTCATGTCTGGTCAGATCGCAGTCGGGATCTGGCGGTCCGGTGACTAATTTCAGCACAACTTGCGTGCACTTGAGCATTCAGGTCGACCGCGCTTCTAGCCACCACGTGTTATCCCCTGTACCTTGCATCTGGCAGTATCAGATGACAGACAACAACATGTTGACCAGCTTCTTGAGAATGCTGAAGATGTCCAAGTAGGCGGGTTGGGCACCTCGTAGGCCGTCTGGGAATAACCTTCTGATGACAGCTCTAAGTCTGCCCCATGGGGAGGACGAAGCACCGTTGATCAGCATATCACCGATCCGGGTACTGTCGGAGAAACAACCTCAAGGAGTAAAGCAGCTTGTCATTCCAGCTCCGTACGAGTAAAGTAGAGTAAGCACCGAAGCATTCCTGCGGAGAAACTATATGCGATCTCAGCATGCTAAGTATTCTCGAGATGGTCGAACACTTCTTCGCCAAGCGTGGGGAATGGCTGCTTGCTTCTTCTGCATGTGCTGCACCACGGATACACGCGCTCCGCATCCGGGGTAACGGGGATGTTGCGGGTTCCCCGCAGCGGCAGTGAACGGAAGAGGTCATCTCCGGTCAGGACGACCAACCTCGGTCAAGCGCAGTTTGGGAATGCCCCGAACTACACGTGCAGCACGCGTCATGGGAGAAGATGTTAGTCCAGCTTATTGTTAAAAAAAGAATGGGTCGGACAGAGTCGGGACGATGATTGTCCATTCCAACAGATCTTGAACAAACCGCCGTTCTTCGACTTTTCCAAGGATTTTCCGCTGGAAGCTGATTACGTCACAAGGGACAAACCCTGGTGGGTCACGTGCGCTGCTGTTCTCCTCTCTTTCCCCTAAGCGCACCAAGATCACCCACCCGAGGTCGTTGTACCAAAATGGATTCCCTAAGTTGGCTCATCATCCTTCTAACAGCATTATTGTACGCACACAATCCACACCCCATAGAAGACCTAACCCTCCCAACAGGATAAGCCTCCTCCTCTGGTTCGCCCTCTCAAGCTGTCTCGCCCACCCAATCGCACACCTCTCCCACTCGCTCTGGGATACAATCCTAGCCGGCGCGCAAGCGGTCGAGTATGCTCCTTCGGGGAGGATGAGACGTGCTCCGAGGGAGGTGTTTGGCGAAGAATGGGAGTTGGAGCGAAGAGGAAGGCGGTCGTGAGTTTTGCTTGGGGAGTCGACTGATTTGGTGAGTTGCGTCTTAACTGCTTGTGGGAGGTGGCTCATTTGAGAAAGTATAATATTTGCATTACACGAACCACGTCCGTGGAGAGAGCATACATAGATGATCGTAAGTCATAACTATCTCATACAGCAGTACACAACCAATCAACCCATCCCAGCCGTCTAGGACTTCCTCGCTTTCGCCAGTCCACCACCTCTAAACGCAACCCTCACATCCCGCGCCTTCCTATCCCACGAATCACAGCCCTTGTCCCTCGCCTGCTCCAGCTCCTCCTTCAGGCCCTCATCACACCACGCACTCGCAGTCACCAGGCTGATCGTATCCGTCGGGTCGAACGTCGGCAGGCGCGTATTGCGCAGGTAGAACATGGCCCACAGAGCGAGTGACACGGTGAGAAGGGTCATTATCACCAGAGGAGTAAGAAAGAGGTAGTCGATAGACGAGAACTGCCAGGCGAAGAGGAGGAGAGTGACTTGCCCGGAGACGGGGGAAGAGAGGGCCGGTTGCGTAGACGTATATTGCAAGCGAACGGAAGTGCCGACCTAGATCTTTGTCAGCTCATCTCACGTACATACATTCCCGGAAGACGCACGTATTCCATCCATCCCTTGAGATAGCTCTCCCACACATGCGGGTACCAAACCGCATAGTTCTTCCCGGCGTAGAAGGCGTTCATCACCGCCTTCACACTCTCGAGCACAATGTTGTTCTGCGTGTTCTGGCCTAGCAGCACCGCCTGCGGGAGGAGGGCAATCATAGGCCCGAAGATCGAGGTATCGGGTACACTGATCGGGTTGAGGTTGCTGATCAAGTGCTGGTCCATCGTCCCAATATATGTCGCCGTAGCGGAAACAAGATACGGGGAGATAGTGCATCTACCGTAGATGTATCAGCCTTGCCCCAACACGAGTCAGACACACGCACGTAAGGTTCTCCACCCCGCTCATCGCGTACGCTCCATAATGCCTCAAATAGAAGTTCCACGAGTCCTTAATCTGACCCGGGCAAACAGCCGCCTGGACCCAATCCCCCCCGACGACCATAGCGACCGGCTGCTGATCCCCACACGCACACGTGCCCATGACCTGCAGCCCAGTCGCCAGAGGTACAGTAGTGTTCATGTTATAGCTCAAAGGGCTGACGCTATCGTTCGTACATGCGACCTGGGCGCTGAGTCCCTGCATCCCGAGCGTGTAGTTCCAGAGGTTGTTCTGTACTGCCAACTGCTGGGAGGGCATCAGGTTCCCCACATTGGCCCGGACCATCTCCGGGTCGATGGGGAGCACACCGCCCGTCGTACCGGAGAAGATGGTTTTGCCGAAAGAGGTGTAGCCTGTGTCCCCGAGGAGGTTGGCGTCGACTGCCGCGCGCCCGGTGTCTAGCATCGCCGGGAGGGAGTTGCCGACGACGCAGGTAGGCTGGAGGCCGTCCCTGGGTTTCCGTGAGTCAGGGTCTGAGAGGTGAGGAGAGACGTACGTACCGGTATGCTACCCACCAGTTGCACTGGGTGATGCTGCCATTGGTCATGTACCACTGGCGGAAGGCGTCGCTTGCCAGGTCTGCCTCTGCAGTGGACGTGGCGAGGGGTATCGGCCATGGGTTGGGGGAGATGATCGTATTGATGCAGGTGGTGAGCACTCCTACAAGAAGGATATGCACAAACGTGACGAGGAACCAGCCGGGGTTCATGATGATCAGACTCCCGTTCCGGAGCGTGATCCACCCTGCGAGCGTCTTGAGCCTGTGGCTGCGCGCGACTGCAAACTTGCGGATGACGATACGAACGACCATGGCGTGACAGCTTGAGAGTGTGGCGGATAGGAGTGTACTGATGACGGTGAAGATGGCTGTCCAGAGCTTGGGGTTTGAGAGCCCGAGTTGTTGGACGAAGAGCGGGGCGATGATGGCTGAGTCGCTGGAGAGGCCGGAGAGGAGTGCCACGCCTGAGGTGAGCACCAGAGTACCGAGCAGGGGAACGAAGTACTCCAGGACACGGATGAGCGCGGACTGGTGGTGCTCGTGCTCTTGGTTCTGGAGAAGGATGCGCTGAGAGGAGAATGACGCGGAGGAGGAGCCCGTGCGCTTGTGTGTCATCGAGGGGGTTATGGTGGACGCGCTGGACAGAGGTGGGGAAAGGAAGGCATCCTGGGAGGTTGAGTTGGGGGGAAGATCATACACTGCCGGTGCGGAAGCATGTGCGCCTTGCGGAGTTGATGTAGGTGGGAGTTCGTATCCTGCAGGCACTGGAGCGTAGGCGTTCGGGGCAAAGTAGCTCTGGTATGTTGGGCGCTGAGGAGAAGGAGAGAGATCCGCCATCTATCGATGATCAGAGGATGCGTGGGGGGAGGTAGGGTCAACTATGTTGCTCTCTGGTCGACTGGAGGGATATAACACGCCCTGCTCGAGGCCAACAACAGTTAAGTTTCAAGGAGAATCCCAGTGGTCAAGGAGGAAAGAGATCAAGTTCATCGTTCATCGCCCTTTTGAGAAATAAGAAACCCGGCTGTCACTCGCTAAACGGAAGTGGCCGCAGACCAAAGAAGCACGAGGCGCCCATGACATCGTAGCGTGGGAGTTACAGCCCTGAGCAGCGCCCATCTCAACTAGTTCAGCAGGCCCATGCACACAAAGTTGACATGGTGGAGACAGGCAAGGGTCCGGGCAGTGATTGCAGCGATGCTCAGGAACACGCACGTGATGTTAAGAAGCACTTAGGCAGCTGTGCTAGTGGCTATGCCCTTTTCTTCCGATGAATAAACGGCTTTGTTCGCTTCTTAGGACGCCTTGGTTACCCCCGGCTTGAGCTCCGGATTCCCGTTTATTCTGACAAACACCCGCTCAAACTCCAGCGAAAACTCTCGAGTTAACCCATGTGACCGCCACCAGTATAAATATTAATGGACGGCGCCTCTTCAGGCCACCTCTCTCTCTCTCTTTCTCCTTCCTCTTCCCTGTGTTTAGCTCGTCCTAGTCCCCAGGGAACTATCTGCGTGTGAGTCTTAGTTTACGTAAATCTGGGAGAAGTGCCTCCTGCTCGGGTGTGGTCTAGCTTCCACCAAGCGCGTGTTCGCTGGAAGAACTTCTACGCGCATATATATTGCTTCTTATTGCTGTCAAACGTGCGGATGCCCTCTGCTCCAGTCGACAAATCTCCGGACGAGCCCCAGTACCTGATCATTCACAATCCCTACCCTCGTCCGCGAAACAACGGCGGAGACCTCTGGGACGACCGGGCAAAAGCCGCTGTATGCCAATGGCTGACATGCTTCATCCCTCCCGCGTCGATCCTCTCACTCTATTCTCGCAAGCGGGTGAGCTGTTCCCACACTCTTTGAGCGCTGTACTAATCGTCAAGATAGCCTAACAGCATGATCCTAGCCGAAATAGCGCACACGGTCGACCTGACCCCCGTACTCGGCGCCCACTACTGGTGCACATTCGACAATACCTACCCTCTAACATGTCCTGAGAAATCCGGGATCTTCTTATGCAAATACGAGACCTTCGAGGAAGCGGTGAGCAAACCCGCCTGGGAACCAGGGGCGATCCATCCTGCCTATCTCAAAGTTCTGCGTCCACCCCCAAAGCTCAGGAACGTCGTCTACCCCCTTCCGCAGCCCGTTAGGATGTCGGAATGCTTCGGCCCCGCCGACCCAAGTTATTCAATGGAGAACCCTCCCCCTCCGGAGGGGTATGTACCGGTGCCTCTTGCAGCCCCGCAGCTTAACACTCCGCAACGGCCTGCCCCGCAGCCTCCGAGGCAAACTGGTGGTTCCCGGGATCCGAGATACAATAATTTCCCGCCGTACCAGGACCAACCCCGGCCAATGCAAGCGCCCACCTCTAGCATGCCGAGCGGGGGCACCCCAAACACTGAGGCAGGGGGCGCCACACCCTTTCGGAACTTGTCCAGCTCTGCGACGCCGAGGTTTACCCCACAAGCCTGGGAATGGAACGACAGAGAGAGTGAAAGTGTATCTCCTGCGTTCCCCGATGACACACCTCCAGTACCGTCCCCCTCTGGGGGATCTCGATCCAATAATCCTCCCAACCCCAATGCCCGCCCCGCCAACTCCTCGTCTATGCCTCCTCCTCCTCTGCTACCTGTCAACATCTTGAACCGGAACACCGCAGATGTTCAGAACCGGAATTCCGCTCCGTCGAAGCGCGATCCTCGTTTACGCGGGCCAGACGCTCGTCCTCCTCCCTCAGCAGCCGCCGATCCCGCTCCTGTACCTCCAACTCCCGCGCAGCCTCCTACCCCGGACGCTAGAGCCCGTTCTCCAACCCCATTCCTCCGCCAACCTGTGTCAAAGACTCTTGCCCCCACTCCGAACTCCAAGCTTCTCGGCTCGGGCGGAGGGCTCTTCGGCCGACCGGGCGAGCGTCCTCTTCTCCCCCCAAACCCCACACCTGCAGCACAGCAACGCCTCAGCGAAGCGGGACTCGCCTCCCCGCGTATGGGCAGTTCGGGATCTACAATCACGGACTCGTTCCCTACCCCTCCTCCTCCTGAAGTGAAATTCGAGCCTTTGGAGGTGGAGAGCCCGAGAGTGAGGGTGCGTGTGTCCCGCGGGGCGGAGCCGGACGTCAAGCCTGTTATATTGCCCAATGGGGAAGCTGTCGATCCACAGCATATGACTGCTGCACAGCGTGCCCAGGTGGATAAGAGCGGCGAAAAGTGGAAGACTGAGGGTGATGTCAAGCTGGCGGTCAAGCTGGAGATCAAGCCGGAGGTGAAATTGGAAGTAAAACAGGAAGGGGTGAAGAAAGAAGAGCCAACACAGATCGTCATCGTAAAAGAAGAATCCGAGCGCATGGCCAGTAGGACGCGTGCTGCTCATCCTGCTCCTGGGCCGCTGGAGCATCCAGAAGAGGACAACCGAGCGAGCACGAGGGCCAGGTCGCACCCCCGCGTTCTAGAGGATAGGAACGAATATGTGCGTGATGAAGCCTATCCGAGTCCAGTGGGAGACGAGAGGAAGCCCTTTGTTCATCCTGCACCGGCTGTGAAGCTTGAGTTTGGGAATAGGGAAGATGTCAAGCCGGGGCGCATGCTGGATATCAAACCGGACGTCAAGCCAGACATTAAACCAGACATCAAACCAGACATTAAGCGAGACATCAAACCGGACATCAAGCCAGATGTCAAACCAGACATCAAACCAGACATCAAACCAGACATCAAACCGGACATCAAACCAGATGTCAAGCCAGGCATCAAGCCCAATATGCCCCCCGGCATGCACCCGGAAATCAAGCCCGATCTACAAACTCTGGAGAACGACGACAAAGCCTGGGTGTACGTTTCCTGGGAGCTCGTTCCCTCCAACCCGGGCGTACGACGAAATGTGACCCTGGAATGGCTCCGTGACCCTCATGGCGGGCACCATGAGGTCGCTTGGAACGAGTATGTAGATCTTGATTTCTGGTTGGTTAGGGATGACGAGGATGGGGATGGGGATGTGACAAAGTATCACGACGAGTCAGATGGGGGGAGTCCTGCGCAAGACGTGACTGCTGTGGAACTGGAGGCTGATGACTTGCTAGATCAGAGTGAGCAGACTATTTTGGGACGTTGATGTGGAACTTATTGACTCCTCTTTAGTTGGGGTCGAACTTGGTATGCTGACGAAGCGCAAGCGAGAGGAAGAACACCACAATATCGGCAATTCCAAGCGAATGAAATCCAAGTCCTTGCGCAACACGACACATCCCAAATAGGCCTTGTCCCCCTGGGACAATATTGTCAATGCAGAGACGCGCGAGTTCCATTATGGGCAACACTATTGATACATGCCAGACCTCAGAACCCATTAGAATTACAACAATGTGTGATAATAAATGTATGAAAGTGTGAAAAAGTGAAGGAGTCAAGAAAATCATGGAGTAAGCATGGGTACACAGGCCTGGTGGAACACCATGGAACAGAGGTAGGAAAAGCCAGAGGTGGTAGGAAGGGTAACACAGCGATGCGTGGGCCAGAATAACACTAAGACTTCGCTGGTGTGCCCCGGGGCGCCGCCCCTCGGGGCTTGGTCACACCGCCTCGAGCAGCGCCGCCGCGACCTGCGCTGCTCGCACTCCCCCGCCCGCGACCGGCTCCGCCTCGTGTGGGTGAAAATGCAGGTTGTTTTGGTGGTGGTACTGCGGTACCATCAGGTGCAAGAGGAGGGGCGGGGACAGTTCCATTCGGTATGGGCTGCATCCAGGGCGGAGGATACATGGGCGGCGGCCACATAGGCGGAGCACCAGGAGCCAAGGGTGGTGGGTATCCCGGAAAGGGCGGCAATTGAGGATATGCTGGGTGTGGCATCATGCCTGGCGGAGGTTGAGAAGGAGCAACGGGTGGGGCTCGAGGACCATTGACAGGAGACTGCGATGCAGTCTTGCGTTTTTCAGCCGCAGGACTGATAGCAACGCTGCCAGACTCGGAAGCTGGTACAGATGATAGCACCTTAACTGGAGGTGGAGCAGGTGACGGTCGTTTCTCTTCCATCTTAGGTACGACAGGCGGAACAGGAGGTGGGGCAGGGGCTGGTGCTTCTGATCCTGTCGCGCTCTTGCCTTTCTTTTTCTTGCTGGAAGACGCCGACGCATGCATAAGTATTTCTCCTTTAGTTCCGATCTTGGTCTTAGACGCATTGCCAGGATCCTCAGGCACGTATCGCTTGATCTCGGTGCTAGCCTTCGGTTCTTCCGCCACGGGGCGAGGAAAGACACCATCCAACGGGGAGATCGCTGCAGCGTTGTGCGCATTCTTGGAGTTCTGCGCGTGTTGTGCCTTGGTGTGATTTTCTGGTCCATTTTCCGAGGGAGCTGGCATGGGTAGGAGTTTCGATTTGTAGAAGTTGTGCAGCAATCCAATTTGCTTGTCGATCTTGTCCTCAGTGAAAGGTATGAAAGGTGCAGGCTTCGGGTATGGGAGGGGTTTTTCTGCAGGTTGCTCTTTGGCTGCAGCCGCTGCAGCCTTCTTGCCCTTCCCAAGCAACAGGCGTTTTGGTACTGACAGGGATGTAATTCCTTCCAGACCGAGGTCTTGCAAGCCAAGAAAGTCCACTCCAAGCATGTCTCCAAGCGCACCCCTGCAAATACGTGAGTGTCGGTTAAGAGAGCTCGATATTTCAACATACCCAACGATGTCCTCTTCCTCATCGAAGTCCTCTTCGTCAACCTCCTTCTCCGTCTGCTCGCGGTATGCTGTCTGTAGCCTGCGCGAGATCTCCTGTAGCCGCCCGCCATATCGTTGCACATCATCACGGACGTAGCGTTCGAGCTGGTTGACCTCAGTCACTCCGTTCTCGAAGAGGGTATGAAGGACAATCTCCTCCGCCGGCATATCCGCCGAATGCATGTCGAGAAAATACCGCATGCTCCGACCAATGTTGCGGATGTATTCAGCTGCCACATCGTTCACTACGCCCAGCGCTGTTTTGCTGCACCCTAGTATGGAGAATCTGTTATTCCAAATGAAACAGACGATAAGCCATGGACTTGCCTTCAAACCCAGCATGCCGCAATAACATGTAAGAAGTGTTCTTGATTCCATCTTCGGGTTCGAAGGCGTAACCAGGTCTAGGGGGATCATCGGGCTGCTCCGGCGGAGGGGGTAACGGATCTTCCATAACGATATCTTCTTCTCCTTTCTCCTCTGCCTCTCTGATATCGGCAATCCTTTGAAGCTTGTCCTTCATCTTCCGCACTTCGTACAAAGTTTGGACGTTGGACTCTATTGAACTTCGAAGTGTCTCTTTTCGAACGTGTTTCTTCTTCTTTCTTTCGATCACTCCATTTCTACAATAGCAGTGAGATACATGCGGGTAAAGTGAAGGGAACAGCCACGCACGCTTTTGGTTTTTTCTTCGGAGGCATCTCCACCGCGTCATCAGCAATCCAGTCACCCAACTCCGGGACACCTGAAGCCATCATTTCTGGCTTCATGAAATCACCATACCAATCTTTGAGGAGTTCGTCTCTGACGCCGAGGTTTTTTCTTTTTGGGGCATGACCGTTCTGCAATATGCGTTCTTCTCGTTTCTTCTCCACTACCGCCTTCGCCTCAACTTCTGCGGCATCGAATGCTTCTGCGAGTGTACGCTTGCGTGGTCGCTCGGGAGTCCGTTGTGGATCTGAATTGAAGGTCGGAGCAGGGAATACGTCCATCGGTCCAAATGGAGTGAAGACAGGATACTCAGATTTTGGAATGATACCATCGACAACACCTGCGTATGAGGGTCCGGCTTGAGCTAACGGTCGATCATCGAATGAGTCCAGCTTCCGTGTCATCTCCAGGAAGCGAGTCATAGCGTCCGGTGTTCTCTGCGGTAGTGATACCAGCACATTCTCGTCTTTCTTCGCATTCTCCAGCTCGGCCTTGGCCGCTGCTTCCTGCTCCGCATTGGCTTCTCCCTGAGCAGCCTCCTTCGCATCCATGGCGAGTAGCACGCTGAGACTCTGTCCCAGTCCACCAGTAGAAGGTGTCGTCTTCGCCGTTTGCTCCATCTTCTTTTCCCGCTCGCGCATCTTTGAGCGTTCCCTTTCCAGTTGCCTCTCCCGCTCACGGTCCTTCGCGGACATCTTTGGTTTGAGTTTGCCATTCTTAGTAGGCTTGGCGACCTCTCCGCGATCGTTGATGCGCTCCAGGACATGGTCCGCTTTACGACGCATTAGCTGGGCTTGCCGGCGAAGAGGATGTGTCTGGCAGTCGTGAGTTGTCTGTGACGCATGCAGGTAGAATATAAAGCTCACCGGTTCACTATTGTACGTGAGACAGTTGTCCCAAATCAGGTTGAGATCGGTGGCAAACTGTGCCTTGTTCTCGTACACACGATTCTTGACCTTCTTCACCATCGTTGATAGGTCCATTGGATTCTTGATGTCTACGAGATATACGAAATCAGTAACAGTGGGTGTGACGACAGGGAGCATTAACGGACAGTCCTCATAGTCAGGGGCTTCGCTTCTCTTGACAGGGTTGCGGAATGCGACAGCTTCGGGCTACACGCATACATGAGCAAAACTCCATCAATCCAGCTACTGCGAGCTCACTGTGGCCCTCAGTTCGCTTAACACTCTGTCCAGCGTCTCATAGAACGCGTCTGCAGCCTTGTTGTCCTAGATCGCGTCCGCAAGGGACCCGTCAGCCACTACTCGATTTCACATCACGACGTAACGCACTCGATATGACTGAACCTCGGCTAAGATTTCTTTCACATGAGCTGCTTTCACTCCATTGCCGAGCGAGCCGCTTGCAATGGCGGAGAGCAGGTTCTAGGAGTGTCGTTATGGTAGGCCCTGGTCGAGGAGGACATGGATCAGGGTCACATACCTTCATGATCTCGTCCTCGGAGCGTCGCCGCGCTCCTTCGGGATGTTACCAGGACGTGTCCGGTGAAGATCAGATAAAAATGAGCGATGGATGGCACGAATTGAAGTTGCAGCCCGGAGTATAATACCTAGTGGTCGGTCCAAGGACAGGCGTCTAAGGGCCAGCGGACAAGTGCAAGTGGCTGTACCTTGTGGGTTGTGCTGCTTCCGTAATGTAACACCGTCTCGGAGTATGCAGAATATGGGTTATTTCATGGAATTTGGTAAGGACAGCTACAAATGCGAAACAAAAGAAAACATGTATGTAGATAGTTGAGAGCATGAGAAATCTCATGATGTTGGAACACGAAAGTGGATCTAGTACCCGGTAGGTCGGACATGCTCACTCTAAGATGATGAAGAGGTACAGCACAGCCATGGGGACAAGAATATTAGTGTCAAGGGATAGGAAGAATCAAAGCAATTAAAAGCTACTACATGGGGAGGACAAGGAAATTAGTGTCAAGGAAAGAGAGCAATCAAAATCATTAATACAAGCCAGCTCCTCAAGGGCAGAATGAACCCTTCCAGACACATCTGGCTGGATGTCCAGATCCTGGCCAGCAACATCTGCAAAAGCCAGCATGTGGGCATGTCATGCAGAAGCATCCTCTGGGAGAGGTGTTTGTGGGCATGCAGGGGCAATTGAAACACTCAGAGCATTGATTGACAACCGGGATAATGGGCCAACAGAAGTATCAAGAATTCACACACATGGAAAGCATTCTCACTGCCCCTGAACCATTGTGTGACCTCAGACTCAGGTCAAGCACCCAGGAGTTGGAGACTGCATTCCATATAAATGAACACACCAGATTGGGTGCCAACAGTTAGAAACCAAGAAAATGTGATGAAAAAGATGAGCCCTTCAACCAGTTGCAGAGTATCATGAAGTTACAAACAAATTTGGCTTCTTCGGTGGAACTGGTGAGGGACTGGCTCTGGACCCAGTCTAGGCAGTATGAGGCAGTCTCATTCCTGCCTGCCTTGAGGTCAGGAATCTTGGAACTGTCTCGAGACCAGACTGGTCTATTGCAATCCCCACACAGAGCTGCCTCCAACAAGAGCAAGCAGAGAGCAGAGAGAAGAGAGGCTCAGGGCTGACACAGACAGTGCGACTTCCTAATCCCACAGTACAGATGTACAGTTCCAGCATACTTGTCTGTGAAAGAGACCAGCCTTCAAAAGAAGGGAGGGAGACTGTAGCAGAAGGTCAGTGTCCCTCCTGCTCTGGAATCAAAATGTTATCAGGACCAATTTCTTGATCTTCCCAGGGTGCCTGCAAAAATTATTCCCTGCAGAGACCCATATGACTGAGGACAGAGCAACGAGTTTTGCAGGGAAGCAGGTCAAGCAGTCAACCAATAGAGCACAGGTGAGAAGGATGACAAAGATGAGATAGAGAAGCAGACTATCCAGACCTCAAGGGAGGTCTTGAATGGTCGACAGGATCATGGATAGACCAAGAGCACAAAAGCAGGAGGACCCAGTTGCAAGAAATTGAGAGATCCTGTGGATCAACAACATGAACTAGATCCCCTCTGGGGAGCTGACAGTTCTCTCACTGCGGGATATGACAAAACTCCAAGCACTAGCCTTCAGCAGACTGGGGAGGGAAGGAAAGGTGATGGGGGGATGGAGAACAGAAGTTATGGCATGAATTGGAGCAGTCATGGTTAGGCTGGGTTATATAGGCACATCACGGATTAACATTCAGGTGGGTTTGTGGCTGGTGAATACCAGCCTTGCAGTTTGGCACAGAATTCAGAATCTGAATTCTGCTATTACAAAATCTGCATCCCGGCCTTGGCTGTGCTGGATTTGATCCCAGGTCCAGGGCCCAAAATGAGGTAAGCAACATTAGGTCATTTAAGCATGTGACATAGGCACAATTTCTTTTTTACTCTAAGTATTGTAGAGTATTATACTTGTAGAGAATAACTAATAATTAATTAATGCACACAATTGAGTCAATTTTTTGAATTTAAAGGACTTGTGAGGACACTCAGGCACCAGCAACACCATAAAATTAACAGTATCTACAAGATACCTACAGTACATGACAAAAATAAAGAGAAAGGCCCTGACATGATTTTGGTGGGATTTCCCTATTGGAGGCAATGCTGTGACTTCCGTGCTATTCAGTACTACAAGGGGTGAACCCTTTGGGCCCTGTTGGGGAAGTGCAGGATAGTATTAGTCCCTGACTATATGCCAGAGCAGCCAGGCACTCTGTATGTTTGCAACACTACCATTTGCATCATGTGAGAAGAAGGTTGCTGAGTCAGCACATGTGCATACATGTGTTAGTGCTGTGTATAGCTGGCCATGTGCAAACACATCTGTGCAACAATCCAACACTGACCTATCAAGTGTCAGCCCTTGGCAGCTGTTGAATGTGGTTGCATATGCCAGACAGAGTGGAAGCTGGTTGTGGATGACTGTCCAGCTTGCACAGTGGGGCTTGAAGGTGAAGTGGATGTGGGGGATACAGTGTAGCTCATTCCCCAGTTGGCCGTCCATGTTGAGGATGCACACCTGCACAAAACACTGATTAAGAGCCTCCACAACCACATGGGCATTCTTCACTAGCTTTTTCTGCATAGACAGGTTGCGCATGAGTGCACACACTGCCCCTGTCTTGAGATGAAGGGCATGAGGTGGGACACCATGGTGGTGCAATGTGTTGACATAATCTGGCATTTGCCAAGGATCATCAAGGTCCAAATCTTCACCTTCCTTCACTGCATCTGCACTGTGGTAGACAACTGGGAATACTGTAAGCACATTGTGCATGCACATTGGGAATGACATGATTACCTTCATCTGTCTGGAGGAGTGCAAGTGCTTGCACATTAAACTCATCCACCAAGTGGTTGCAGGAACTGAGAAAAGCATGCTGCATAGCAGCAGCTGGGTCATGCAGAACATCTGCTGGGTAGAGAAAGTTGAGGACTATACCCAGTTCTGTGGTTGCACCCAGCATTGGCAACCAGATTCATGTCCTGGAGGTGTCTTCTCCCACTGCATCAACAAAGGCAGAGAAGAGTGGGTCATTGCAGTTTTGCACTGGCTCATGCAGTGAGTGAACATTGAAGGCTGGCCAAAGGTAGCTGGAAAGGATGGATGCTTCATATGCTGCTGTCTCACCACCACTTTCAACAACAGGTGCCACTTGCCGGAAGTCCCCCAAGCCAAGGAAGGGTATGACACCAAAGGGTGCATCCATTGCTGTGATTTGATGGCAAGCAGTATCAATAGCCTCCACTGTTGTGTGGTTTGCACCAGGCAGCCCATCCAGGATAAGGAGGCTGGCTGCACAGATGAGGTCTGCCCGTAATGAGTTGTCTGTTAGGGCAACACAGGCTGACTAAGTCTGCTTACCTAAGAGTGCCAAGAGTCTAAGCAGGCAATAAGGAAGTGGAGTAGACC